AGTCAATTTAGGAAATGTAACAGCCACACAGGCTGCTGCAAGGGCTAACAGATACTCTAGCTTCAGTGCCTGGCTTCTTCAAACTAATTTCTAGAAAGAATGGGATAGGAGGCACTGCATATGGGAGGCTCCAGCAGGGTCAGTATCTTAAATGCTCATTTGATTGATTATTTGAGCAGGTTCTGGAGGAGGGAGGGGGATCCAAGTGCAATTCAGTCCCTTATAAAAGCACAGAATGACCTAGAAGGAGTCTGAGTAAATGAGGAAGGATCACTGGCTTTGGGAAATCCATTACTCCAGCAAAGCGTATTCTGCCAAGAAGCAGTGTCCTTATCTTACAAGGCTCTTTGCAAGAATGGGATAAGAACATAAGAATGAGTGTGGTTACTGGAGCCTGGAACACACATTTCATCCAGATATTTATGGGTTCTCTACATGACACACAGCACTTATCCAGAGGCAAAGCATGGAACGGATACTCAAGATTTTGGCTCAACCTTCTGCAAGTAAAACTGCTAAACAGCCTATCACTTGCCTAGAGACAACAGTGTTAGTATACAGTCTTCTTTGTCAGCCTGAATAGAATTTGGGGTTTGACTTTTTGCTACTCATATGAATGTGTGTAAACGAAGGACAAAGGCACGGGTGTGTATTGCTTCTGCCTGGCCAGATGGGTTTGTTAGTTCAATGGGAAGAGATAAGGGACAGAAGATACACGGTAGGTGTGCCGTATACGAGCAAAGCAACTGAAAGGCTGTCTGGCTCCCCTCTCAAGTCAAGGTCAAGCAACCAGTTAAGAGGAACAGGGGAGGGGAGAGGCATAAGACACACTAAAAGCCAAATAAAAGCCAGGCATTGGTCAGAACACAACACCCTCACCCCTCCCATGGGACACAAAAGGGATGGCATACAAAAGACTCATTGCCCCCAAAAAGGAACATGGCCGTAAACTGTAAGGAGTGAGACTGGGATGTGCATGGCAGGGATATTTGGGCAGGCTAAGAAGCAGCAGTTGGAAATGGGGAGGGGATGGGGACATGGGAAAGGCTCTGCAGCAACACAGCTGGGAATGGAACCCTGGGAAACTGTCAAAATGCAGTGCTACAGACGCACTTGCTTGGCTTACACATCACACTGTCTGCACTTCAAACATCTGGTCTTCTGCTTTCTGTCGGTGTGACAAAACCCAAGGGCAGGGGTGAAGGGAAATCCCTCAAAGAGACAGATTCATCCCTGGGCCTTTTTGAATAGACCCCTATAATTCTCCAAAGACACTGGTATTTTAAACTCCACTTGTGCAGGTTCAAATGCCAACTTATAGACCTATTAAAACATGAATGCAAAGCAACCCTCCATGCCAGGAGAACCAGGAGAGTGGATTGTGCTGCTAGGCCCTCAAAGACTTGTGGAAATAGCTGCTCAGAAAAGAGCTACTTCCAGAAGTTTAACAACCATCTTGAAGAAAGGGGAACAGGAGGAGGAGAAACTGAGATACTTCTTGGACAGGACATGGCCACAGAACTCACAAAAAGTCAATCAAATGAGTATGGGATTTGGTATAGCGGAGCATTCTAACAAACACAACTTTCAGTAGTTAGTTACTTGCAGGCACTAGCATTAGATGTAAGGGCTTCACAAGTGTACATGAAGTTACTTACCTTTTCCACCGTGGCTTCGGAAACTGTTCAAGTGAATTACCTCTTCGTTGCCACCTCCTTCTGCCATTTTAAACAGCTGTGCACATGAGCATCAATACCTGAGCATGGCAATCACAACCTCAGGACCTGGAAAACAAGACAGAAATGGCAGTGAGCTCTCTTCAAAGCCCACACAGCAATTAATTAATTTCAGGCTGGATCATGTTCCAAGACCCTAACTGCAATTGTGCTCAGTTAGATTTTTTCAATTGCAGGTTCTAGAAATCCAGAATTACTTCAGGAAAATCCAAACCAAACACATTCTAAGGGAGCTAAGCCTTTGGTGTAATGATGATATTAAGCAAAGAGAACAAGTTGTTTGAGATGCATAACTGTTGTGTTTTGGAGGCTACTAGAGTCAAGCAAAAAGGGTGGTCCTTCTGTGTTTGATACTTACTGTACAAATCAGAACAGACATTTTAAAGCCAGACCTCACTATTATACGTCATCCGATTTTTGGCACAGCTTCATCTATAGTCCCTAATTCACTGATGAAATCTGCTTATCAGACGTATTGTTTCCATCAGTGGACTAAGAGGGCCATTCTTAAAGCCAAAGGCCTGGTTATTTTAAATGTTACCCAAAGAAAGGAATCCTTTAAACTTTTTTCTATTTTAATGGTTTGGCAAGCAAGCCACGAAAGCCAGTAAACTCAAGTAATAACTAAATGACTCCCATGGTCTTCAGGGTAAAACACCAAAGAAAAACAGACTATCTAGTGGGGTTTTCTGCTGCCATCTGCTGGTAGAAGACACTGACCATGTGCATAGGCTGGTAACAGGACAAAATTGTAGCAACTGAAATACTGGCACTATAGTTAACAACTGATAAAACCCATCACCACGATCCTTACATTATGAAGCAAGCCAATAAAAGGCTCCAATATTAAGAGATGGTATCTGTGCGATGCACAAAGCAAAGCAAGGACAAACTTCTCAATAATTCTAGTTAATTTAGGAACCATGTTATCTACTGATAGAACAGTTTTCCGTATCTCTTAAAACTGTTTGAGAACACATTTAAATCCCAAATTCCAATAGCTGTTGATGAGATGAAAGAGAAGAACTTCAGGGTTAAGAGACATTTTGCTGCTCATTTCCATTAACATTACTGCTCTTGACACTTCATTCATCTAGCTGGAGCTTTCAGGTATGTATCACTGTCCTATACACTACGCTCTCCCTGACAGTGAACATACAGAATACAAATATGTATTGTTCCTGTCCATGGCACGTCCCCACCAATGCTCCAAAACAGGGAATTGAGGGAATCCCAGGAACTAGTTGACTTCCACAGACTTGGTTCTTAACACTGGGAAACTGCCCTCAGATGGTGCTTTACACTCCACAAGAGATTAAATTTCTTTATAAGGTAGAGGATTTTGCTGGGGATTAGTTTCTCACCTTAATGAAGTTCTCACAGCTGCCATCAGCACAGGGATTCTCAAACTGGGGATTGTGACCCCTTTGGAGTGGTGAGGTTATTACGTGAGGGAGTCACCCCCAAAACCCATTTTGCCTCCTGCATTTATAGTAGGGTTAAATATTAAAAAGTGTTTTTAATGGGGGGAGGGGAAATCACACTTGCTATGGTGAAGAGTCAGAAACACTAAAGTTCGTGAACCACCGCATTACACAAGGTACAAGATGACATTAACCTGACTATTCCAGTACAAAAGAGAATCTGGACTGTGAACACAAAGAAAACTTCCAGAAGCCAATGCAGCATAAATAATAGATTTCCATCCTAGATAGTATCATGCCTATCCTTTATTGAACCAACTAAAGAAGAGCTCTGTGTAGCTCAGGGGTGGGCAAAAGGGCCTCCACGGGCCAGATCGGGCCCGCCGAGGCCCTGCCGCTCCACTGCCCCCAGGCCAATTAGGACCTGGGGGCAGGAGAGAGCAAAGATTCCTCCCGCCCTGCCAGGAGCACGCAGTGCTTTGAAGCGCCATGTGCTCCTCGCAGGGCGGGAGGAGACGTCATGCACCGCCTCACCCCCAAGCCCTGATTGGCCTGGGGGTGGGAGGAGGCTTTGCACGCCAATCAGGGCCTAGGGGCGGGGGAACGTGCAAAGCTTCTTCTCACTAGGTACCCATGTCCCTGGCAGGGTGGGAAGAGGTGGAGAAAAGGGGCTCCCCCACCCCCAGACCAATCATGGTCTGGGGGTGGGATAGCCCAGAAGCATCCTGGCCCCGCACCTTCCCTTCCGGGGCGGCCCAGGACCATGTCAAATATTTTTGAAGTGGTCCCCGACCAAAAATTATTGCCCACCCCTGGTGTGGCTCAACAGAAGCTGGTTCAACCCAAGATTTTGGTTGCAGTTGAGGGAGGAAATATGAAAAGCAGTCAAGCAAATCAAAATTACCTTAGAGCAGTGGCTCTCAACCTTTCCAGACTACTATATCCCTTTCAGGAATCTGATTAGTCTCGCGTACCCCCAAGTTTCAGCTCACTTATTTCCTTGCAAGACAAAAATACAAAAGCTGTCATTGCACACTATTATTCAAAAATTATTCATTATTTTTACCAAATAATGATTGGAATAGAAATATTATACTTAAATAATACACTAAAATGTTGAGTAGTATAAACACATCATTGTATGAAATTTTAGTTTGTATTGACTTCAGCTTGTGCTTTACGTAGTCTGATGTTAAAGCAGGCATGTACCCAGATGAGCTGGTGTATCCCCTTGAAGACCTCTGCATATTCCAAAGGGTACACACCTCTGGCTTTCATGGTTGGGCAAGGTGATGGTGGGCTAGTGCTTGTGTTTTGCTTTGTTTGGGTTTTCTGCTTTGTTTTTTTAAGTCTGGAACCTCTTGTTTAGACAAGTTCAAACATGTCATAGAAGTCTGTGATATTTAAGACACATTTAATTAAGATGACCAGAAATTAACTCCTGAACAAATGTAAACAAGACACTTTAATTCCTAGGTGCTTTGAAAGTCACATCAATACAAACAGATGCTCTCCCCACACCTCAAAATCTCAATCACCAGAACAAAGTGAATAGAAGATGGCACACTGCAGATGTGTATTTAATAGCTTTAAGAGGTGATGTTATTAAACACAAACTAACAACTTCTGCCCATCCCACTCCCACAAACTCCTGATTTCAAGTTAGGGTTGTAAAAACCTAGATAATCAGTTAACCTGTTAAACATTATGTTAAACTGGGTAACTGATTAAAAAGGGATTGGCAGGAGGGCCCGCTCCAGCCCACCAATTAACCGTACCCAGTAAGCATCACCTGGTAATGATTGCCGGTTAACCCGTCACGTCCCTACTTCAAATATGTATGTTTTTGTATGAGCGCAGAGCCCAAAATTTAGTCCGTTACATAAAAAAGGAACCTTTTTTACCTAAGAGCAGATTGTGCACTGTGACTAAAGTCGATCCGTGGTAAAAAAAGGTTCCTTTTTTATGTAAGAGCAGATTGTGCACTGTGACTAAAGTCGATCCGTTAGACACATGAAGTATGCATTCTTAGGGAGGGCAATTCATAACTCCCTATCTAAAGGCCCTATCTACCAGTCATTTGAGTCAAACTCTAGCATTCTACTTTACTACTCTGAGAGGCAAAGATAGATTGCAGTAACAGCAGCAGCCACAAGAGGAAGGAAACAGTTAAAGTATATCCAAGCAACCAGTCACCTTTAGCACCTGCATAAGAAACACAGAGGCAAAACAAAGAATGAGCCTCACAAAAGCCTAAAGCACATATTGAATCTCAGCACTAGAGAGCCGCTAACTTCCAGCTAGGAAAACAAGCCTTAGCTACAGGCAATATGCAAATACAAGGCTGCAAAGCCCATGACTGTAGACAGAAAAGTATGATTGAGCACTGAAAGCAGGGTTTTCAGATCAGCAGGGCAAGAATCTTGCTCAATACAAATTTAACACACCAGCAGTGTGACTCAATGGTGTAGGAAATTGAGCAGTTTTTCTTTAAAAAGGCACAATTAACACATGAACAACTACACCAGGCAGAACACCCCAGATTAAGTCATCGAACCCCATATCAAATAAAGAAACCTAATGGTTCTCTTTGAAACATGCAAGAGTTAATGTTGTACACAGGGAATGATTAAATAACCTACTGAGGACTAGGGTTTCTCTGCACTAGCCATGAGCTCATGCTGGGGAAATCAATCCATCGAGGGTCAACGTAGTGATTCTAAAACTAGGGATGTTAAAATGAGTTAAATTAATCAATCATGTAACTGCTGAAGGGGAAGGGGAGAGAAAAGAAGAGGGCATGTGCAGGAGCGGCCCAAGGTGCCCCTGGCAGAAGGTGCAATCGGCGCCCCTGCCTGCACGGCTGTGACATCATCATCAGGCACCCGGGGCCGGCAGCACCCTAGGCAACCACCTAGTCTGCCTAGGCTCACGGGCCGCCCCATGGCGTGTGCGGGGAGCTGGCTTTTAAGCTAGCTGCCTGCACATACTGGGAGCCTGCATGTAACTGCAAAGGTTAGCCAATGAGCCTGGGATCATCGGTTAACCATGTACACAGTTAAACTTTCACATCCTTGTCTAAAACCCCGCAGACTCTAGTACTCCAATGGACCAAGAAGAGTAAGGGGAGGCACAGAGTGGACCCCGTTGTAAATAGCACTAAGCTACGTCAATTTGAATTACACCACCACCAAAGTCAATCTGAGTAGCTTAGATAGTGTAAGAGCAAGTCTACACTATGGGGGGAAACGTCTAACTGCTGATCGTCATCTTTCTAATAAAACAGCATCATGTCCCCCTCTGTGGGCAGGGCTTAAATCGGAAGCCAGGAGCTGGTCTGTTATCAGTATTTCATATATTCTCCTGTCTACACTATAGTCTTGTCTACACTACAAGTTGCTTCATTTCAGCTTGCAGTGGTGCCACATTTTAGCAAGTTGCCACAACATAGTACTATCCATACTATAGGGGCACAATGTAGGCCAACCTAGCGCACAGCATTACTGCTAGCAATGCAGGGCCTGTGGATTATTGCAATTACCCAACCTTGGCTGCTTTCAGGGCCTGTCATGCAGCTGACAGATAAGTGGCCTGTCAGGGTGACAGGCACTGCTCAAGCTGTCAAAAGTGCCACCAAAAGGTGGGCATGAGCATTTTGAGGTTGCATAGGGAGGAGTAATCGCACCATTGTTACTGCTTCATTAGAATCTGTAATTTACACTATCACTGCAAAAGAATCCCCCAGTGATACTGTACTGAGTACTTCATAGGACAGTAATTATCTTTGCTCAGAGGAAGGACAAGCAACTGTGTGTGGCATGTTTGGTGTTTTACAGGTATGCTAGGGGTGGTAACAATATTGGCAATGTGTGTTAGTGCAGAAGAGCTTTCAGATAACTTCTCCTCCCAAACCGATCCGTAACAACTTAGCTAAGCCTGTTCCCAACTTTAAAACATGACCTGTCATGCTGGGAACTAAACCATTGCTGTCCACAATCAGAAAGTTATTGCTTGAAGCAAAATCTAAGAAACCAGGATTTTATTCTCCATAACCAGCTCATTTCACCCCGAGAGAAAACTCTTCCAATTACAGTAATTCCTCATTTAACATATGCCCGCTTAACACATTTTTGCAATAGCACTTTTTTGGGGGGGAGGGGGCATTTTTTGAATTACACAACTGAATAACATGATTTCCCCAGCTGGCCCATTGCAGGGAGGCGGGGGGAGCCCCGCCCAGCCGCCGGCAAAGTGGCGGAGGGGTTGCTGCCCGCCGCCCAGTTCCCCACTGCCTC